GAAAAGCAGAATTGATGGCACGGAATGTCATCATGTCTAGCACATTATGGGCAAGCGAGTGCGGAAAATAGGTGTCGTTGGTAACTAGCTAATTTGTTGCTGCTTCTGTCGGCCTTTATTCTGCAGGAGACTGTTAAGGCCATCAAAATTGGGACCGCAGGGAAGGGAGAGGCTGTTGTCCTTCCATAGTTGGAAATAATCCTTTCTTGTTGTCGGCGGATGACTCAAAGCGTAATATTGGTGGAGAGACAGCGCTGCCAACATTGCCTTGTAATTTCCTGTTTTGTCGGCAGCAGTGCAAATGTTTTCCAAGGCCTTGCCATGGCCGGCAAACATAATTTTGTTGTGTCCGTTGCTGGCGTTGTCTGTCATTGTGCAATTGCAATTGGAAGAGTAGAATCGTATGTATGATCCGAACTGCTGTGACTGTAAGGACTGTCGTTGCATTGGCTAAAAGAGCTGTAGGCAACTTGCTTTTCTCATTGTCGACAGTGGACTGAGCAGCAGTGTCGTGGGAATTGATGTTCTTTGTGACGGGAATCACTCAATTGTAGTGGTAGCAGCGTGGACAATATCATAATTATTGTTCTTCTTCATTGCGGCGAGCGGCGCAATGGAATCAGCAATGAAATCGGCACCGGGATCGAAAGAATTGTTGTTGTTGGATGTGATGGAATTTGCGTCATCAAGAGTACTGTCGGCCGTGCAGAGCTTCTCTCAAACCTGCCTTCCGATTGGAGATCGACCGTTGCGAGACCAACTTCCCTGGCGCCGATGAACGTGACCCAGTGGGAAGTTCGTACAACACTTCAGTCGACCTCCTCTCAGGAAAAATGATATGATGTAAGCCTCTTGTTCTCACTTGCCGTTGAGATGGTCGCTGCCCTTGTTGCCTTTCCTTGCCTCTTGTTGTTGCCAGTTCTGCCGTGGCGATCGGATACTTCTATCAACGCAACAGCCGTAAAATGCCGTGGTCAACCGCAGACCATGCCGACACAAGCCAAATCGACTCTAGGATGGAAGAAACAACCAAGGCTACAACGGGATAGTCACTCTCTCCTTGTCTCTTCAACATAACCACCTTCGACACTCTACAACAAGAGGAGCAACCTTGAAACCGAAGGCTGCTGCAATCAAATTTATGTCTCCCCAGCAAATCTCAATTTTGGGGTGACCATGTAGGTCTCAGTACAATTTCTAGCTGGCAAAAATGTTCAACTACTGGCCGCCGTGTTGAGGCAAAATTCTGACAGACCAACCCCAGAGAAAAAGATGGGTTGGCGATTTTCCCAGTAGTATCCATTCTATCCGTTCTTTGCGTGTGGTTCACTTTCCGCGGATGCACCACCGTGCCGAGTACTTTCCTTACCTTACGCCATCATTGGGAACGTCTCACAAATCGGTTCCAAAGTACAAAGAACACCAGCCATGAAGATCCTTTCGTTCCTTGTCCTCGCATCATCTATCCTCGGCATGGCCATGAGTGCATGCAGCCCCAACAATAACCAATGCGAGACAAACAGTGGTTCCTGCAGCACCACGGTGGAAGTCTTTTTGGACTCCATCCATCCCAACGCGACCGTGGGCGACATTCAGCGGGCTGCACGAGCCAATGCTCGCCTCTTTCGCTACGGCAAGTACTGTGGTTCTACAAACTACTGCCCCCAAAATGGAGCAAGCCAAAACCAACCAGAGCCCTGCAATGACATTGACGCGGCGTGTCAGACCCACGACGATTGCTTGGCTTCCGAGGGTACTACACCCGATGGAGATGAACCTGTGGACTTTCCGGATCGCTGTGATTGCGACATTGCCTTTGTCCAAGCCCTGATCCCTCATACGCCACCATTCGGCAGTCCCAACGAGGACCTCTGCGACGCTGCCTTTTATGACTATCAAATTCCTGAAGCGGCTATTATGGCCTTTCCGTTTTGTCAGGGCGTGGCTCTTGGTTGTCCCCCAGAAAAGTTGGTCAATATCGCTGACTACTGCATGGCAATCGAAGAGCAATTCTTGCCCTGATGTGAGTGAGCGCGTTTGGTCGATCATCCAAAGCCTTTGCGCCGAGTCAAAGCAAAGCTTCAGACAGAACTATAGAATAGAATCAGCAAAGTAGAAAGCCTAGGAGTCTTTTTATGAATAACGTAGCCCATACAATACATTCCACTATTCAAGTAGACTACTCGTAGCTAGGGTAGGTAGTATGGCAACTGTTGCAAAGGAGCTTCATCACGCCAGTCTTCACGAGAGTTTGCGGTCGACATGTCCTGCCATGCCATTGGTGACGGAGGCAAATTAGCGTTAGGGCTCCAAGATCTGGGATCTTTGAGTAGTCCAGAGAAAGAGAGGAGTAGATTTTCCAACCCCATGCAAACGACCCCCTCAAGAGCTGCCGAGTCTCAGGCAATGCATCCATTCTCTCTTGTCGTCACTCTCATGGCTTCCAACTCCAATAACAATGCGATCGACACTCCAATTATTTATGATCTGGCCGTTGTGGGTCGAGGAATGATCGGCTCGGCGGCAGCTAGACATGCGGCTGTTCTTCTTCTGGGACAAAAAGCCAAAGAAGAAGTGTCGGTCAAAATTGCGCTCATTGGTCCCTCGGAAGATGACTCGACCAAAGAAGTCTATGGAGCTCATTATGACGAAGGACGAATCACTCGAAAGACGGATCCTGATCCAATTTGGGCTGAATTGGCCAGTCGATCGATTGATCGTTACCCAGATATTAGTATTGGCTCTTCCTGTTCTTCTTTTTATCAAGAATGTGGCCACTTGGCCGTCTCCAATACGGGCAGTATGGTCATTCAGAATCGACTCGACAATCTGGAACGGATGAAACTCACCGAATCATCATCGATTGAGCTTCTTTGCGACAATCAACAATTGACAGAACGATTTCCCTACCTCCACTTTCCGGATGGATGTGAGGGAATCTTGGAACCCAAGAATGCAGGGTATATTAGCGCTCGTGGTTTGGTGGACGCTCAATGCCAGCGGGCTCAGGAATTGGGGGTAGATCTGATCAATAGAGTGGTGGAAAGAATACGTCCAAAGGACGAGCACTTTGAGCTACGTTGCTCCAACGGTGATGTCACCATTCATGCCAAAAAGGTCCTGGTGGCCACGGGAGCTTTTACCAACTACCGAGATTTGGTGCCCGCTCAGCTGGATTTGACCCCCATCAAGACACAAACGGTCCACTTTCTGCTGGACAAGGCGGATGCCACACGGTTGGTATCCATGCCCAGTATCATCTTCAAAGATACAAAACACTGGGCTTACATGTTACCTCCCATTCGATATCCCGACGGGACCATTCGCCTCAAATTGGGCGGGGGCACGATCATGGAGGATGATGATGATGATGATGATCACGATCGTCGTTCCATGCACTCGTACCAAGAACTTGTGGATTGGTACAACAACAAGGGAGGAGATGCCGCTGCCACACAAGAAATGACAGAGCTCTTGCACCGATTCGTTCCCAACCTTTCCACAACAACCATGCAAGTTGTAGTCAATACCTGCGCCACACTGCATACACCAACTCGACAAGCCTACGTGGGCGAAGTACTGCCGGGATGGGCCGTCGCCACGGGAGGGAATGGATTTGCTGCCAAGAGCAGTGACGAATTGGGGCGGTTGGGAGCACTCTGTGTATTGGATCCAGAGGCATTCTCCCAAGAGACGATATGTGGGCACCCCGTAGCTGAGGTTCTGAAACCACTCGTGGTGGGAGAAACTACTGGTAGTACAGCGACCAATGACAAGCGGCATTGATTTGGGGGGAGATCCATCTGGCAGCGCACTTTACGGGGAAGGGAGATTAGCTAGTAGTTATAGGGTTACGTTGGAAGTCTTAAAATATTTGAAAATGATTTCTTCACCACCTCGCAGTCTTTACACGCCCGCCCATTGCAGACCGTACGGTGGTGCTGCTTGTGGGTAGATGCACAAGGGGAGCACTGCATGCTGGGAGCTGAGGAACGATGTAGCGCCAGCATTAATGATCTAGCCACATTGTAGATCAGGATTTGGGCACCTGCCCGATGGAATGAGGGAGCTCTATTATTAAAAACAGGAGGGCAAGGAATTGTAGGAAATGATTTATGCAATTGTAGATTGTTTTATTCGTTCCGTGGGTGCCACCACAGTCTGCCAATACCGGTACCACCACAATTGGATGGCGAACGATACTGCAGCAAGCAACAAGGAGTCGAGTCCTGTGGATTGTATTGTAGGTTGATTGGTTCAAACATCTGATTTTGGATGATCCACCATGACGACATTGCCATTGTTATCGTATTCTTCATCACTATCGGAGGACCCCCCATGTCGTATCGCACCTGTACTCCCATATTTGTCGATATGCTTTGGATCTCTCATGGTAGCATGTGCCATGATGATGAGCCCCGTGATGAAGGAAAACAGCAGTGCCGGACGAAAGCATTTCCAAACCACCACCACGACAGAAATGACAAAGAGCACATAGAATCTGTGGGAGATGCTGACCAACATGGAAATGTTGCGATGGAAGAGAACAACTTCATTGTGAATGAGATAATTGTGTCCCCACCATAAGAGCCATACCAACCCCAGACTGACCAACATTCCCGGATGCATCAGTGCCACCACCAAAGCGACACCAAATGCCACCAGAGCGTAATTGGTGAGAAAGAAGGAAATGTTCAGTTTGATGCGGGAGGTGATCTTTTCGGGAGTGGTCTTGTCCATTTTCTTAATGGGAGGTGTAAAAGCCCCGGCTGACATGCAAAAATTGTTGCCACTAATACCCAAAAACATGGGCAACGGTCGTAATGTGTCCATCGAAATGGATACCCACATGCGTGATGCTCTGTACGGTATTGTTTTAAAATAGTCCAAGCAAAAATGGACATCCAAAACAATGAAAAGAAAAACCAAACAGACAAGAAAAAAGACCAAGTAGTGTAAGCGATGAGATACTAGTAGATGGGTACCTCAGAAGGTAAGATCAGCAAATAAGAAGGTTGCTTACACTCCCGACTGTGAGATTATACAGGGTATGGCTCACCCTGCACCATCATCTAAGTAAACAGCATGCAAGGCAGTGCACAAGCCTTGCTTTGTGGTAACTAGCAAGCCAACAGACCAACTGCAATAAACTGCATTTGGAGAAGAACTAGCATGAAATAGCGCACTAAAGTAAGCTCACAATTTGATAATCCTTCATGGTAGCATGCGGATGGTTGAGGAACGAGCAACCAAATTGTCATCAGATTCACTAGTAGCTAGTGAATATAAAGCAAGATAGATAACGAAGAAGCAAACCGACAGGCAGAACAGGCAAGATTAGCAACTCTTGACCGAGCCGAAAGACTTCAACGTAGGAGTGAGCAACGAGAGCGCAGGAGGCAAAGATACGACACCGTATTAGCACCACCAACAACACCCAGAGCGATGGCGGCACTAACCATCACCCAGGAAGAACTTAAGGCGATCATGCGAGAGGCAATGCAGGCTGCATTGACGCATGTGAGCAGCCAGGCGACGACAACGTTCAGCGTCGTCCCTGGAGGAGGAGACCAAACGAAGACATGGGACCTGACCTCGGACAAAGGAATGAAATACTTTGCCCAGGCTACCAAGGCACCAGACACCCTTTTCGACGGAACAATTGAAAAGCTACACAACTTCCTAGGTCTGATCAAGAAGAGAGCAACCACCTATGGCATGATGTCGGTGATCGCAAATATAAATATTGGCAACAACAAAACTAGATCCATATTAACCGAATATGGTTCAATTACTGAGGCGCAGATAAAGGCGCACGCAGAAGTTTATCAGAAGGAAGATAATAGGCAGCGACAAGCAGCAAAGATGGTTGAAGCACTGATTGCCAACAGTATCGAGCAGGATGTATTTGATGAGCTGGAACAGCGCGAGGACAAATACACGGTCAAGGTGACTCCCACAGGAGGGAACGCAGAGGTTACCAGACAGGATGGACCGATGATGCTTTACCAACTCATCAGTATGGTATGCGTCGACACGAAAGCGACAGTGGCCACCATCCTTGACCACCTATCTAGGTCCGGATTGGTCCAAGCAATGGCTGATGCTGATTCGGATATTAAGGCGTTTAATAGAAAAGTCAACACCCTCATTATTTCGCTCAGGGCTAGGCAGGAAGCCATACCGAGCCTTATAGCTCCACTGTTCAAGGCGTACGTGTCGTGTGAGGACAAGGCCTTCTCGCAGTACTTCAGGCGGAAGGAAGAACAATACGAGGATGGATCATTGACCGAACCTAAGGAACACGCAGCACTGATAAGGCTAGCTGGCGAAAGGTACAAGATCATTACAGGAAAGAAGGAATGGAAGATGAAATCCGAGGAGGAGCTCAAGTTCATCGCGCTGAAGGCGACGGTGGACCAGCAGAACAAACAGCTGACGCAGAAACCAATGCAGAAAGCCAAGCCAACGCAACAAAAGGAAAAACAAGGACCTAACAACGTTGGAGAATGGGCTTGGAAGTCGGTGCCTCCAAAGGAAGGAGAGCCAATCGAAAAGAAGTTTCGATCAAAGGAGTACATCTACTGTCCACACCAAGGAGAAACCAAGTGGGTATTGAAGGTCAATAGGCAAGGAGTCGTCCATTCGACCAACTGCAGAGCCAGGCAGAAGAGTGACACCGCAACGTCACTCACCGCCACTACGGACACGGACAGTGAATCGCAATCGAGCGACGCAAACACGCCATCCAAGAGGGACATCAGGATTGCGCAAGCACTCACGTCCGTACTGGAGGAAGAGCTGTCAGGAATCACCGAGGACGAGAACCTAATGACTCCAGGACGATCGTGATCGCACGAACCATCCGAGGCTGATACGACGCCAGCAAATAGCTTTTGCATCTCGATGATGCTAATCCTACTTGCGAGGCTGGTCTCAGGATGGTCGAACGTACAGTATTCTTTGTTAAACAACTATAATAACGTAATTCTGTTTCCAACTCTACTCATAATGACATTTCAATACATCTCGATGAATGTACTGGAGTTGACGAGAGATAGGAACCCATTCGAAATGGAACACGTGATGATACCGGCATGGGTAATCATCAGGATAATGATGGCACAGATCATGCTAGTCGGGATAATCACAGTCCAAGCACTGATTCCGATGATGGCATTGCTCGCAGTGGACGTCGATTTTGTCCTGCCCGTGGTATTGTCAAGCATGCTGATACGAGGGGCCCGGACATGGCTGGAGATTTGCTGTGACAAGCCTAGCTACGTACCTAAGCGGCATAGAATAGGAGCGAGGCTCAAGAGGGCAATGAAGCAAGCAACGAGAGCACCAAGTCGAGCACACCACTGCATATCACTAGCAGGGCACAGCTTCCAGAAGAAAGCATCGGAAGCAACCAGTCGGATCAAAGAGAGATACGCCGACGGAAAACGATGGTCTAAGGCATTATCCCAGGCCAAGAGCAAGGGCAACAAGAGGGGCATCACCATTCGATTGATGAGCATCCCCTTCTTACTTGTAATCATCAGCGTCAACATACTGTCAAAGGCGCATGGTGACGAGCAACATCTCGTATTACAGACGATAATCGAGTCACTGACAGCAACGACGAGCCGAGCACGAACGGCATCAGAACACCGCTATGACTCGGACTCATTTGTCATTGCGGTAGACAATTGTTCGACAAGAAGCATAACGAACGAAATGGCGGACTTCACGCACCCACCAGAACGAGTGCAAGTTAAAGTTACGGGCATAGGTGGAGCGGGATCAGCCACGTACAAGGGCACAGTGAAGTGGGAAGTGCTTGACGACGCAGGGGTAGCACACACCTGGATCATTCCGGACACGTACTACCACGAACGGTCTCCATATCGGCTGTTGTCGCCGCAGCACTGGGCGCAGACAAGGCAAGAAGGAAATGGCACCGTCTGCATCACCTATCACGATGCTGTCAAGCTATTTTGGCAGGATTGCAAGTACGTGAAAACGGTAGTTCTTGACGGAGCAACGAACATCGCACTGATACGGTCGAAGCCGTCATTTAATCGGTTCAACACGTTCTGCGCAGCAATAGCAGACACGGAAGAGTGCCGAATGCTGGGAGAATCTGAGCTAATGGCAATGCCAGCCGCGCAGCTGGTTTCCGATAGTGAAGAACTCACAGACGACGACCAGTCGCAGGCAAGCGATGACACCCTGGAGCGATATCACCCGGACCTTCCGAACGTAGTGTTCGGTCAACAAGAACACAACGACGAGTTCCGCAACAACTCGAGCACCAGCCTAGAGCAACCAACATACAGCATCGTTCCAGAAGATGAGGAAGTGCAACACCAGTCGCCACAAGCACAGTTCCTGGCACTCCATTACAAGCACGCACATTTATCGCCAGAAAAGATGAAGGCGCTAGCGAGAAGAGGACAGCTACCAGCGTCCATACTCAAGTGCAAGATGCCGAGGTGTAGCGCCTGCATGTTTGGAAAGGCTACGAGGAAGGCATGGCGAACCAAGGCGCCGGTGAATTCCTTCTCTGCCCCACCTCCTGACTCACCAGGCGCAGTAGTGGCAATGGATCAGCTCATCTCGTCGATTCCAGGACTGATAGGACAGATGAGAGGATTCCTCACGGGCAAGAGGTATCTGGTAACGACGGTGTTTGTCGACCACTACAGCGGGCTATCATACGTCCACAACCAGCTGTCAACCGGTGCCGCCCATACGATCGAAGCAAAAGAGGCATTCGAGAGGTATGCTAGGTCGCACGGAGTAACAATCCGCCATTATCATGCGGATAATGGAATATTTGCTAGCAAGGAATTCATGATGCATGTGAAAGTATCAGGACAGACCATATCGTTCTGCGCAGTCAATGCTCACCATCAGAATGGTAAGGCAGAGCGTTGTATACGCGATCTACAGGAATCGGCCAGAACAATGCTACTGCATGCCAAACAGCGCTGGTCCGAGGCAATCGAAGCGAACCTGTGGCCATTTGCGATTAGAATGGCGAACGACGTGAGAAACGAGGCACCAATGAGGGGACAGGAGTCTTCCCCAATAGAGCTATTCTCCGGGGTAGAGGTAGTACCTAAGCTGAAAGATAGGCATACTTTCGGTTGCCCGGTGTATGTCCTGAACGATAGGCTACAGTCAGGAAAGTCCGTCCCAAAATGGACGAACCGCGCACGGATCGGCATCTATTTGGGGCACTCAGTACGACACTCAAGGAAGATTGCACTAGTTTTGAGCCTGACAACTGGACATGTATCGCCGCAGTTCCATTGCCAGTATGACGATCTATTCGAGACGCGTCGCAGATCAGCAGGCAACCCAAGAGCCGTCTCATTGTGGCAACAGAAGACTGGTTTTAACAAACCTGAAGACAGAGACGTGGACAATCTGAACTTCGAGGCAACGAAGCGGCAATCAGAGGAATACGGCAGCGGTACTAGTGGAGTACACGAAAGCACGTCGGTCGTGGATGAAACAGACGCGAATGCCATGCAGGATCGAGGTCCGGAGACAAGCCAGCAAGCTGCGCAAGTATTAGCAGAGGATTTCGGCATCGGAAGCGAACGACATGAGGAGCATAGCCAAGCAGAGAACAATGACGAAGCAACAGGGCAAGAAGAAAGCGCGGAACGGATTGATGAGGAAGCGCCAACCATGGGACCGCACTTGCGACGGTCACAGAGGAATCGACGTCCAACCGAGGCAATGAGGCAATCGATCGAGCAAGGATCTCTCAGCGCATTTTATGTTCCTTGGGACGTCTTCCACGATGACTCCATGAATCTGCAGGACGACATGCAAGATCCATTGCGATACTCAGAAACAATCAACAAGGACTTGATGTCGTATGACGAGTCAACGGACCTAGTCACGTTCGCGGCATCGTCCAACCCAGACATCATGTACTTCGATCAAGCGATGTCAGCACACGACAAAGACGAATTTTTCAAAGCCATGAAGAAGGAAGTCGACTCGCACACGGATAACGGACACTGGACGGTTGTACACAAGAGCGTAGTTCTGAAAGGAACCGACGTCCTGCCGGCTGTATGGGCATTCAGACGCAAACGAAAGATCGCGACCAACGAGATCTACAAGTGGAAGGCAAGGATCAACGTACACGGTGGAAAGCAGAAACTGGGCATTAACTACTGGGAAACTTACTCCCCGGTGGTAGGATGGTCAACGATCCGCCTGTTCTTGATCCTCATGATACTAAACAATTGGCAGTCAAAGCAGGTTGATTTCGTGCTTGCATTTCCTCAAGCAGAAATCGAGTGCGACATGTACATGCAAATTCCGGTTGGATTCGAGTTCGATGGAGACAGAAAGAACCACGTCCTCAAGCTCAATCGGAACTTGTACGGACAAAAACAAGCGGGTAGGGTCTGGAACACATTCCTGCATGACGGACTTATAGCAAGAGGCTTTGTACAGAGCAACGTAGACATGTGCGTCTATTATAGAGGGTCAGTCGCATTGATGATTTATGTTGACGACGGGATATTCATTGGACCGTCTCAAGTCGAGATCCAAGAATGCTACAATCTACTATCTTCTGAGTACACAGACTCGAGCGGCAGCAAGCATCGGGCATACAACATGACCGATGAAGGCAACCTTAGTGATTACCTCGGAGTGAAAATAGAGCCATTGCCAAACGGCACGATCAAATTGTCGCAACCACATTTGATCACGAGCATACTAAAGGATTTGGGTTTCTTGGAAGACAAGGCAGTAGCAGTCAACCGAACGAAGAGCAAGCCAACTCCAGCCCCATCAAGTATGCGACTGAGCAGGGACGTACATGGTGTACCGTATGATGAGACGTGGCACTATCGCGCCATTATTGGCAAGTTGAACTTTCTAGAGAAGTCCACACGCCTTGATCTAGGTTACTCAGTGCATCAGTGCGCGAGATTTTCGAATGATCCAAAAGAATCTCATGCACAGGCCGTGAAGTATATAGGCAGATACTTGGTTGGCACGCAAGGAAGAGGGATCATATTGAATCCCAAAGACCATTCATTTGACTGTTGGGTGGACGCCGACTTCGTAGGCAACTGGAATAAGATCGATGCTGAATTGGATCCTAGCACAGCGAAGTCAAGAACGGGTTACGTAATTACGTACGGATGCTGCCCAGTGGTATGGGGTTCCAAGCTACAGAGAGAAGTAGCTCTATCGACAACGGAAGCAGAGTACATGGCAGCCTCCGAGAGTCTGCGATCCGTGATCAATTTGATGGAGCTGTTAGAGGATTCCAAACGTATTGGATGGACAATGACACATACAGCTCCGAAAGTGCATTGCAAGGTATGGGAGGACAATTCTGGAGCACTGGAGATGGTGAGACTTCCAAAGATGAGGTCAAGAACGAAGCACATCAATGTGAAGTATCATCACTTCCGGGAACATGTGCGGGCAGGCAAGATATCAATCCACAAGGTAGTCAGTGAGCAACAGCTGGCTGATTTGATGACGAAACCACAACCGCGACAACTGTTTGAAGCCCAAAGAGAAGGTCTCATGCAGTGGGATGCGGAGTTCTTGTCTGCCGAGGAGCTATTGTTACCTGCCAAGCATCTGAGGGCATGTGAGATTATACAGGGTATGGCTCACCCTGCACCATCATCTAAGTAAACAGCATGCAAGGCAGTGCACAAGCCTTGCTTTGTGGTAACTAGCAAGCCAACAGACCAACTGCAATAAACTGCATTTGGAGAAGAACTAGCATGAAATAGCGCACTAAAGTAAGCTCACAATTTGATAATCCTTCACCCGACACGTAGAATCTTGCGCTCTCAATCATGTCAATCCCCGTGCTGCCAGCACCATGCCCACCACTTGACATGAGAGGTACTGTTTCGTTCTTGGGCGGCGGACTTGTCAGTGGGATGTTTCGTTGTGAGGCTGTCAGCGGCATCTTGCTCTTGCTTTCTATTGTATTGGATCCTCTTGTACCAGTATTGTAAAGCCAAGAGCTATTTTTTTTATTTTATTACCGTATAAATAAATACTAAATAGATACGTTAAGGAGCGAGGGGGGCGAGGCTAGGCAAAGCAGTGGCTGCGGTGGTGGGTGGCTGGTGTGGTGGGCATACGGGGAGAGCAATGAGGACGCGAGCAGGGCAAAACAAGGGGGGCAGGGAAGGGGGTGCATGGAGGAAAACCAGGAAGGACAAGGGAGCAAAATTAGCGGAAGAGTGCAAGTGCACCATCGGCATCCCAGAGAGAACGACGGTAGCTCATTGTGCCAGCAGGGACACGAGAGCCACGCATGCAGAGGTGGCGGGCCCGAAGAATAGCTAGGCTGAGCCGAGCATTAACGTAGCCACACACCACTGAGTAAGGGCGTTCCCACTTTGCAGCGAGCAAAGCGGAAATACGTTTCGCGAGTGCCTCAGCTTCGGCCCCAAGGAGACCATCAGCAGAGACAACAAACGGAGTAAAGTGGCGGCGTTGGGAAAGACAGGCGTCGAGATACTTGCGTTTCTTGTCATGTTCGCCATTGCGAAGGACCTTGCCAGGATCCTTGCGACAGTGAGAAGCAGCATCAAGATTGATGACACGAACATCAATTATGCCGTCAGTTCCGCGTTGCCAGAGGCCACGGATAAGGAAATCACCTCGTTCCTCGGATGGGGTGAGAACTACAGGAGCGTTCCTCAATCGTGCATGAAACCGACCCTAAAATAGGGTCGGATTTAGGGTCGGATTCCCTTTAGGGTCGGGTTTCAAAACCGACCCTAAAAATAGGGACGTTTTCTGAAAAATAGGGACGGTTTCTGAAAAACCGTCCCTAATTTAGGGTCGGGTTTCGTTTTAGGGTTCGGTTTGAAAAACGTCCCTAAATAGAAACGGGACTGCCTGGTAAATACATTGAAAATGCACCAATAGTAGGGTCGGGTTTCGAAACCGACCCTAAAAATAGGGACGTTTTCTGAAAAATAGGGACGGTTTCTGAAAAAACGTCCCTAATTTAGGGACGGGTTTCGATTTAGGGTCGGGTTTCGAAACCGTCCCTATATTTAAGGATGGATTCCCCCAAACCGACCCTAAATTAGGGTCGGATTTAAAGTCATGCACGATTGAGGAACGCTCCTGGAGAGTCGCTGGAAGGCGAAGCATCAGTAGGTGCAGAGCAACTAAGTTGGATACGGGTTTCGTCGCGAACTGCAGATGGGATGAATGCCTTGGCAGCGAGATCACCGAGTTCATCACGCACTGCCCTTGGTACAGGAAAGGGCGTGAGTAACACTGAAGCGCTCTCCACAGCCATCACAGTGGCTGGGAAGATCAGAGGGGCTCCGATCGTAGCGCAAGTGCAAAGCATCGCGGAATTCCTGGGCAGCGAGAACAGTGCCATTTTCTGGCACTGGAACCACATGAAGCCAGGCGCCAGTCTCCGGGGCGCGCTTCACAACAGAACGACTGGAACGTGGCAAGGTACCTAAGACCTTGTGCAGGTTCACAGCAGCTGCAGCTTCGCGGCGAGCGCGAAGAGCCTCACGACCATCAGACACTGCCTGACGGTGATCCGCAATGCGGAAAGAGCTATTGAAGTAAGAAGAAAGAAGTGCGAAGTGCACTCTTTCGTGGAATGGCAAAATTTAATTTTCGGTTCATAAATTTTTCAATTCAGCAAATTTCGAGTAATTTTTGCAGATGAATTGATTGGAATGACAACTGGAATGCCTCACGCTTTGTGCCGGACCTCTGTGGAAACTCGAGTCGTGCTACTTTTCGTCTCCTAAATCCTTTTGATCGTCTCCTATTTAATGGATTTCGTCTCCTAAAAATAGGAGACGAAACGGATCGTCTCTTAAATCTTTTGTCTCCTCTTAAAACGTCTCCTATTTTCAACGGATCGTCTCCTATTCTCAACGGATCGTCTCCTAAGTGTACCATGTAAACTGTATGGTATCGTCTCCTAAATCTTTCGGATCGTCTCCTATTTCGAAACGATCGTCTCCTAATTGGAATGTCTCCTACTGAATCGTCTCCTAAATATAGGAGACGATTGCTTTCGTCTCTTAAATCATTTCGATCGTCTCCTATTCCTCGGTGTATCGTCTCCTAAGTATTTTGCCACGAATGACGTTTCCACAGAGGTCCCGAGGTGACGGGTCAAGTCATGTCGGGGTGTGGACAGGAGTGAGTTCTCTTGAGTTTAAGAGTGTTGATTTGAGTCAAATCTTATAACTCAAGTCTTGACTCAAGTTTTTTACCCCTTGTGCGGACACTAGACTACTAGTAGCTAGCAAAAGAACAACGGTTTGACTAAAGTTCTACGGCTTGGTCGGCGTCTCTATTTTGAACAGCTTCTCCTCTGCCACTGGTTCCTTTTCAATTCGATTCTCTAATACATCATGGTGGCCCTTCACAAATGAGGTGTCGTCCGGTCTGACTTTCTCCAAATCGGCAAGATCAAACAGGATGCAGCTCTCCTTATACAAGCCTACGTGTCTCCAGCGAACGTCGTCATCTCTGTATTTCAGTCCTGTAACCTCCAATTTGCGAAGCGCCTCCTGAATTTTCTCCAAGTTTCCTCGTCGCTTTGCTTTCTCTATGGGTCTAAAGAATGGCATAACGACGCACCAGCGCCCGATTCCCGACAGCTTGACTTCCTCCGCTTTGAGATCATTGTAGATGCTGTTGAAGTTCTCCGCCTCCCGGTTGACCGAAGCTTCTGCCACCTTTTCAAATTTTTCCTTGCTCATTACCGTACCATTTGCATTGGTGTGCTTCACATACACTTTTAGAGCAACTTCCTTTCCTTCCGAATCCAGCGCGTGAAAGCCATTGGAGGTTGCACCATTGCCAAGGCTACCAACAATGTAGTATGAACTCGGGCCTTCCGGAAGATTCTGTTGACACTTCCTTGCGTGATCCATTTTATGGCGTCTTGTGATTGGCTCGATCCTCGCACCAACAGTGGCGCGCAATTCTCCCCATTGATATCCCAGTCCAGCACCACCCGATGCGAAGACTCGAAGTGCCCTGGGGAAGACGTAGTTTTGACCATCCTTCAGCTCGTGGATATAATCAGTTGATTCCTCGTCCTTCTTCTTGGCAAGTTTGATGGCATTGTAGAAAAACTGTGTGAGATGTGATCGAGTTTGCACATCGAGATCAACCTCAACCCTAATGAAGATCTACCTCGTAGCGTAATTCCCCTCTATTTTTAGTTCATACTTTTACGTCGAACTCCCCACCATGTCATCCTTCACATCGACCTCAGTTCGTAGGTTATGAGCCCAAAGCGTCATCGTTCTCGCAGTGAAGATATCGCGTAGTGTAGAGCAGGGCGAAGCCGTGATCTGCGCTTACACCCACATCGACCTGCAATGACGGGACGATGCGATTTGGAAGATGACAACAACAACATGGTGTTGTTGATCCACTCCGCCGTGGTAAAGCAGATGGATTTCGAGTTCGAGTTTCTCCTGGAAATTCGAACTCAGCGTGAAGTATCCAGCACATCAAGATGGCGATGTGACTGTTCTAACTACCGTTTAAGGGGTAGATTGACTGAGCTCTCATTCGCGCAGCGGTACGTCGATGACGCTGCTGACACGAAGAACAAGCTCAATCTCGATCCTAGCTATCGGATTGGGTCAGGAGACGGCTGCTAGCTGCAGCTGGTGACACCTCCTGGTCAATCTGACACCCCTGTGATCTCACCAGAGAGATCCTGAACAAGGTGATGTTTTCGACGTCGAAATCGAGCTAGCACACAGCGAGAAAACGACTAGAACAACAACAAGATCACCATGACGACCAACTACAACAACCAGACACCGCTACCTTATCGTGCTACACGTAGGTCTTCCGGTATGTTTGGTATGAGTGACCTCGAATTCCAAGAACGATCCCGTCGCCTGAGTATGCAAATTCCTAGGGACCCCGTTGTTGACGAGCTACCGCCCGTTACAACTCCCACGGAACGAGCTCGCGCTGTACAATTTGCGCAAACTCAAGCTCATGGTGACACACAACGACCCCAGCGTCTGTTCCAGGCAACGCCTCGCGTTCCCCCGCAGACTGCTCCATCAGCTGTCAGTACTACCCCGGTTGTACGTCCACCTCCGATTGGTCACGTCGGATCCTGGAAGCTTCCAACACCTGCTGCGACGCCAGCTCCGGCTGCCTCGCCAGCTCCAGCTCCTGCTGGTGGAAACAGCCTCGATCCGGCCGGTACGACCACGACTCCCGCTCCAGATACAACTGGTTCCGGTGGTGGTGGAGGTGGTGGTGATGCTAATCCACCTACACCTGACCCTGACGTTGATCACCTCCTTGTTGACGGACGCCTCATAGAGATTGAACTGGTTCCTCACCCGCAAACTCCATCTCGATGGTGGAACAAAGCGGACAGGATTCACTTCGACCACGAGGCGCGCCAAACCTTCATCAATAAGGCAACATCCTACACCGTTCTAGGAAAGGACAACAAGCTAGTTGAGCAACCTACTGACCTCGACACCAATGGTCTCATCACGGCTGTTGAGCGGTCTGACCGCAATTCGAGCTCCTTAGGACTCACATGAAACACTTCTACCTGTTGGATGTCTTCCAAATTGGTGACTCAAAGGATGAAAGTTCGGCTTTCACCTACAGTTCGAAGAAGAAGGAAACCAATGGATTTGTTACAGTATGCTCCCAAGATCACACCATGAGGCTGTGGCTTTGAGACACTACTTCTATAATTCCTTTGTGCGCGTAAGCACCTGCCCCTATGTGAGTGAAAACATGTCCCTCACCTTCACTCTTCTGCAGAAAACACAGACCCAAACTGTTCAGAAGGTGCTACCTAGAGTACAACAGCTGGCCTGAGACCTGTCATGGTGGCTTTTGCTGTTCGCTCTGTTGTATCGTCATATCCAGAGGACATCCCAGAGTGCCATACAAAATGTGCGAGAGTCATTGAATTCCCTCAAGATCAAGGACATCCCCATGGAAGATGTGGATGTGGTGGTGAATAAGATATCCACCGTCTACACCTTGCTTGAGACCAATTCCAATGACCTGATGAACTATGTACCCTCAGACTTCTCAGAGAAAGTGCTCCACATTCTGGCAACCTCCAGTGTCCCTGAGTTCAACAAGGCTTTCATCAAGAGGATTGAAGAAGTCAAAGCTGAAGCTGATTGTCGTGGAAGTACCCCTATCTGGCCTGAGATCAAGGTGATATGTGACCAAGCTAAGAACATGTATCGTCGGATCAAGCAGAGTGACAAGGGATGGCTTACCAAGACCAAGGCCAAACAGAGCGCATTCAATGCCAACTCTGGCAGCTCTGGCTCAGGGGGATCCGGTACCCGATTCCAACGCAAGTGCTGGAACTGTGATAGCCCCGATCACCTCCTTCCTCAATGTCCCAAACCGAAGAATCAGGACAAGATTGACAAGCACAAGCAAGCCCTCAAGGATGCAAAGAAGGCTCGCTCACAAGGAAACTCTCAGAGTGGATCACACAGTGCTCCTCGCGAGCGCCAACGCAAGACAGGAGAAGATGGATGCCCAATGATCCTTTCCAAGAAAGGAGCCTGGGTGGTGGATCAGAAAGAGTTACACAACCGCGACAAGGCACAGATTAAGGAAGTGCTGTCTTACACGGCCTCCAAACTGGGGAAGCGCACAAAAAAAAAAAAAAAAAAAAAAAAAAAGGCACATTTCTTTCGTGGGCGACCCTAATTCAAGCGGGCTGATGGGCGCCTTCCAGTCCTGGAGATTCACCCCTCCTAACCAGTGGGGGCGGGCCCTGCATACTGGTAATCTGATATCTGAGGCCCGTGTCACATTCTGGACAGGCATGTGGTATGCCGCTCTCTTTCCAGGATCTATGAATTCATGTCCCCGTCAGACCCCCTGCTTACACTTTGTGTGTGCGGCCCCAAAGCTGGCCGGGAGATTCCATGGAGGTAGAAATTATCAACCAGGGTGGCGTGTTGGTTTATCTTTCGAAAGTTGGGCATGGGGCGTTTCTTCTGTGTCCTCCTATCTTCTGTTTCGGGTGAGCGCGCCTGCTTTGGGTGGCTAAGGTCTAGGGGCTGCATTTCTAAGTGGCCACCCATTTCCAATGGGGATTCTCCCCCCACCCTTAAGGGTCTCAGATTCGCAGAATTCCTTTTCCACCACTTGATCTTGTGGTGGTTGGGTTTGGTTGGACCTCTCGTACACCACACTGGGGTTTCGCCTGCCGTTCATCTATCCTTCTGACAGGGCTGTCGTTTTCGATGTGTTTATCTGGGCAAGTGCGGGGTCCACCAATGACACCACCCCTTGGCCTGTGGTGTTGGTATCGCTGGCACTCGTTACGTGGGGAGCGGTGGGTCGCAGAGCACCCTCTTATCCTGCAGGGTTCTTACCCTATGGGCTGGCCGTTGGGCGGCCCTTTTTTCACATCTTACCTTCTTCGTGGTCGCAAATTGTCTACCCTTCGGTTTTTTTTTCCCATGCGGGGGGTGGGACGCGAGGCCCCCGCCCGACCGTGGGTATGGTTCCAGGAGATGGAGACCAAGATTGTGTTTGGATCCTCCTCCCATCTTGTGATCTTGGTTTGTTTGCATTGTGTCACCTCTGCATACATGGTTACCGGGATGGGTGGGGGTTTGGGGGTAAGTGGAGTCTAGAATACAAACAATGATTGTCCCCGACTATTAGACTGAGTCTTTATGGTTTTTATGGTGTGTTTGTTCCCCCGGATTTGTGTGTGCTACGTTACTAATTTCTGTAGGTATTATTCGTTTCCCCTCTCCCTACCTCTGCATTTAAGAGAGATGGCGTATCCGTTTTGAAAGCAAGGTGGCCCTTGCTCCTGCTTCAGATACGGGGGCAAGTTCTTTCTTCATCCTCGTGCGAAGGGCTCTCGTGGCTGCGCAATGAGGGTTCAGAGCCCAAGCGTCTAAGAACAGAAAGAAAACCATATCCAACACCCCTTCTTTAGGGCGTGTGGGGGGTGGGGGTATGTCTCTAGGCCGAGGACGATGCTGTAAGCGAGCCCTCCCGGGCTTTCTGGGGATCCAGGGACCCTTCCTGATACGAGTAAGAAGGCTCCGCTCTTTCTATCAACATCCCTGCCCCTCAATCGAAGGGGAAGGGGACGGTCTCCTGGTTTGTTTCCCTGTCTGTAAGGAACTTTCGATGTACATTAGTCCAAGACGAGATTTTGTGCTTCGAAATACTGATATACACACCAGTGCTGGTTCAGTTTCTTATGCTCACGGTTTCGAGGGGACGTGGGAGGAAGTACCTATCTACAGGGAGCAAGCGGAAGGGAGCTAATGCTCAGGGTACAATATATTGTGTATGAGTGGGGCTGACGCTCCGCCATGACTCTAACCAAGACAATATGCGAAGTCGACAAGAGAACCAAAAAAGACTTTTCTGGTGATTGATCAGTGTCGTATCCCTAGTTCCCTTAATGCCGACAAGTTCAGAACTCGTGGTGCGCCCACTGAAAGTAGACGGTTCTAGACAGAAGCCACTTTTGGGAGTAATAGTTCTAAGGACACTGAAACCCCAGGCTCATATGCTTTGCCACATTAAGTGGGTTGTTTTGTATGATGTATCGCCTCTTGTCGTGGGAAGTATGAAGTACTTGTTTTGTTATTCTTTTAATGATCGGGGTGAGGACCATGCGTCTCCATAAGACTAAACCGCGAAATAACAATAGAGATAGTGTGGTGGGAAAAGAGACAGTTCTATTTTCGGTTAGACAGTGTAAAGTTTGTAATAAGGAGAGAGGGTATCTACGGCTTCTGCTCTCAGGATGACCACTCGATCCTCTTGGATGCGAGTGTTTTTTTCTCTCAGCGAAGAGCGTGTTGATACACTGGACTCACAGCTGTTTTATCTCCAGAGGAATACTTTTGCGGTATGGTCAGCTTAG